CCCATCAACTGGAAACTGGATAAAGAAGATGTGGTTTTTTAATAAAATGGAGTACTACTCAGCCATAAAGAATGAGAAACTAGAGTCATTTATAGCTAAATGGATGCATATTGAGGCCATACTCTTAAGTGAAATAGTAAGACACACATGTGTAAATACTGAATAGTTTCTCTAGTGTGAGAAACAGAGTGTAAATAAGGACTAAAAGGATTAATAATAAATGATACTTTGAAATTGGAAAAGGTCCAAAGGGGTAGGGGTGGTGGGAGGGGAAGGGGAAAAGAAAGAATGGAAAGGAAAAATTATGAGAAAAGAAAAAAAAAAGGAAATGAAATATGTAAATAGGGAAGGGTTTAGGGGTGAAGGGTGCACAGGTAATGGGGAAAAAATAAGAACCAAGATACATCATGTACAGGTACAATCACCCAAAGATAAATATACATGTATTGTATACCTAAAATGTACCAATAAAAGAATTTAAGAAAAAGAAAGAAAGTACTTTTTATTTACTAAACAAAATTACCTGATTCACAGGCTGAGTGTGGTGGAACACACCTGTAATCCCAGCACTCTGTCAGGCTAAGGCGAGATCAAAAGTTCAAGCCCACGTCTAGCAATATAATGACTCAGCAAGACCCTGCCTTAAAATAAAAAAGGGCTGAGAATGTAGCTCAGTATAAAGGCACTGCATTCAATCCCCATTACCGCAAAAACAGAAAACAAATGAATTTGCAATTAGTCTTTCAAATGTTTATTTAACAGTGCTTTTCAATTTATTCAAATAGCTTAAATATTTCATCCTCAATCTTAGTCTCCTAAAGGAAAAAAAAAATCTTAAGTCTAACTTTAACCAAGTGTAGCGGACACCATTCTTAGTGGCTTATGATCAGGTCCACATTACTTCTACAACTTTTAGTTAGGTACTAGAACTAATCATTTTACATATGAAGAAGCTTTTCGCAGTGGCAGTATCATGGCCAATGAGGTTTATCCGAGGCCCGATTATTGCTAATTGAAAACATATGAAGAAACTGAGGCTTAAAAAGGAATTTAAGAAATTTGCCTCAGGTTACTTACTAAGGCCAGGGCTCCTTAACTCCAGAACCCATTTTCATTTCTAAATATCCTCCAATCCAATGACAGCACACGGGTTGACCAATTCAGATTTATGGTTAATAGTAAATTACATGGGAAGGCCCGAGTGGTTCAAGACAAATCAAGAGTTCTACAAATTGTTGTATTCTGGGCCTTTTTTTTTTTTTTTTTAAATAAGGGCCATCTGTGACCTAAGGAAATGTTTTCAGACCATTGTCACTAATTTACTTTTCCTCCTCTACAGACTGGCTAGTGTCTTAATATTACCACCTTCTACTATCCCAATGGGCTCAAAGGGGCTAAATGTCTTGGGGAATAACTACATCACCAGGCTCCATATGTATAACAACCTCCACGTGCATGACAAGCATGGCTCTCATGACTGTGACTCCTGGTGTTTTTTCTGGGGGTGCTCAATCTGGTATATAATGGTGTGTTTCTTGTTCTACCACTGCTGTGAAAACATAGAAACTTTTACCCTAAGTTTGATAAAGGTTTCTGAGGGTTTCCTTAACCTCACAACCATGTTCAGAAACAAGTGAATCTCTGCTGTCAATCTGGGAACTGTGGCCATCCCATCTACACACTTTTAGAGCCACCTCCTGGTTGTGTTGACCACGGTCACCTGGTTGTACGTATGTAGCTATCACCTTAATCTACTCACTCAAATCCATTCCTTATTATTAAAATGATGTAACGGTGCCCATGCTCATAGAACCTCCCCAGGGCTATGCACTGATCCAGCTGGCAGCTGGTGTAATTTGTAGGTGGCTGAAAGACTGGCTAACCCAGTCAGCACATGCTTGTAAACAGACACCAGGAGGGCCTTAAATTTCTTCTAAATCAGGAATTTCAATTACCTTTTCTGAGGACCCCAAAATGCTGAAGAATATATCCAGGACACACTGACACAACCTCAATCAGAGTCAACTTGTCATCTTCTGCTCCCTTCCTGTGCAAAATGGATATTGCTAGAACTTCTACTAACTGGGCAGTCAGATCACAAGTGGAACCTATTATTATCTCCTAATAGAACTGAAACCATCAAATGAAGATCAAACCCAGCAGCAGTACCATTTGGGATTAAACAAAGCCTTAGCTTGAAGGGCATGCTCTCAGTCTCCCCAATGCCTGGGGCCCCTCTCTCTGATCACTAAGGAAAATAAAGTATGTAGCCTGTAATACACCTAGAAATGTTTCCTGGTTGGTATCTACTTTGTACTGTTCTGCACTTAAAAGATATTTTGATTGGTCTTTCTACTTATTTGTTTTTATCTTTCTTTGTTAGTAAATGAAATACAGGGAACTAGACCACTTGTGACTCTTTAGGTGTAATTAATTGAGCAAACTGTAACTGTGTCAAGAAACTGTTTCTTAGGAAAGGGGAAACATGACAAAAAGTAAAGGTGGTCACCACCTGAACACATTCACAATGGGGCCTTAATTTCTATGTCTTGCTGCTCGGTGACTGTTCCACCAGGTAGTATGGGAGAGTCATGTATGTACCTCCAGTAGTTCAACCCAGTGGGAATGTGTAAGTGGTGAAACTCTTCCCATAAAAGAAACAACAGAACACACAAATGCTCTACATTATGTAGTTCAATCTGGTCTCAAATCTAGTAATATAGCAGTGAGAATAAGATAAACTAGACATTTAATTTTTTTTATGACAGCAACTCTTAAAGATTTATAAATACATTTAAGACTTTAATGAATTATAGTTTCTCAGATGTCACTTTGATAATTTTAATTTCATAATAGGGATCTTCACAACAAAAACTTCTTGGGAATATATTGTATTTTATGGTATGAAGCATTAGCAAATTTCACAACTTTGAGTAAAACCAACTAAGACCTTTAGTTAATGTGCTGCCGAAGGGAGCACCAACTAAAACCTTTAAACAAAACAAAAACAACAACAAAAAATTCCATTAATACTACTGATAGAATAAATGAAACACAAAAGAATGAAAAGGCTTAAATCTGGATCAGATAACTGGTTGGTTCTGAAACGGGGTGTTATGAACTCACCATGTGACCTTGATTAAGGCAAATTAACCTTCTCTGGGACTTACATTAGCCATTCCTTCCTATAAATACTGGAAAAGATCTGAAGATTAGATGACAGAGTTGAGGAATACAGTCCAATTCTTATTCCTTCAGTTACTATTTGTATTACACTACAACTACATACCCTAAACTATTTAAGAGAATCTTCATTTGTAAAAATTACTTATTATATCACCTATATCATATGATAGAGGAAGCCTACAACTTACTTAAAATACATTATGGAAAACAAAAACCCACAAGGACTATTACTTTCTAGAGCCAGTCATATATAAAATAATCTACACATTATTAAGTGCCTAAAAACATGTCTTGAAATGTTTAGAATACCCTTTAAGAGGCAGACTACAAAGGAAAATCCCCTTATTACAGTGTCATAAACATGTGTTGCTATGAAGAATTCTATCTGGTTCCACAGTCTTATAATGACTATTACCTTGAGCTAGCAACTCTTCACCAAGCTGTATTTCTTCAAGGAAGAATTTTTGAACAGCTTCAGCATCTTTAAGGTCAGGTAACTGTTTGGGAATAGAATATTTAGAAACTGTTAATGAAAAATTATTACAGAAGTATAACCAATACACAGACAATCAGGAAAAATAATTCACTGTTGATAGTTCACTCTAAAAAGTGAATAAATTTACTCTTCAACAACACCTATAAAAGTTTAATACCTACTTTACAATAAAAGAAAACACACTAATTGCATCAAATTGGTATTATCTGAATAGTTCTTAGGACCACTGAATCAAACACAGGGCTAGACTTGAACTCACAATCCTCCTGCCTCAAGTTTTGCGAGGTAGGCAGCGGAACCACTGAGCTAAATCCCTGACCCCTGCCTCAAGTTTTGGGATTACAGGTGTGTACCACTATGTCCAGCTGTACACTTCTATTTTTTACCCAATTTTGTAATTATTTTTAATTTTTTTATTATAAAATATTAGCTTTATTTAAATAAGTTTGCATTTCTTGTTACTATTTTGTACTTTGTTACATATTACCAGACTGATTATATATTATAATGCCAGCAGCTATATGGCTTGTTGTTTTTTTTTGGTACCGGGGATTGAACTCAGGTCCCTGCACTTGCGCAGCAGGTGGCAAAAACACTGAGCTAAATCCCCCGGCCCATATATGACTTGTTTTTAAAGAAGTAAACTTATTGGATGTGGTGATGCACATCTGTAATCCCAGCACTCAGGAAGCTGAGGTAGGGGGATTAGTTCAAGTTTGAAGCCAGCTGGGGCTACACAGTGAAATCCTGTCTCGAAAACCCAAAAATCTTAGACTTCTAATAGTTTTTGATTTTATAAACACTCTTATGATCTAACACATGAAAAAAAAAAACAAATTTCTGAAAGTGAAGGCATCTTTTATTGAATATCCCATCATCTAGTAAAAATATGACTATATTCCTGAATCTAAAATTACACTGATTGGGACTGGGCATGTAGCTCGTGGGAGGCTTTGGGTTTAATCCCCAGCACTAAGAAACAAAGCAAAAGAAAAAAAACCAAAAACCCCACTCATGGATGTCTGTATTTTCCTATATCCTCAGAAAGAAAAGGTTATAATAAACACATTGTCCCTCTATGAAATGTCATTCGGGATTTATTAGAACAACAAAGTAGTTTTCTCCCAGTTTCACTTTACTATTATTTTATCTAGTCAATTACCAGTGTTACCTGCTCAATTGCTTCAAAATAACAAAATATAACATCCATTTAATTTTTCCTGGCCTTAACTTTTAAGAACCACTAAAGGTACACTCTCACCCATGCTCTGAAATCCAAACAGAAGTAATTTCAATAAAAGGGAAAGTAGCATACTCAATTATTAACAATTTACTTACATATATCACAGAATATTTTTTATCTAGTACATAAAATTATGTAGTCATTAAAACAATCATCAACATAGTACCTACAAAAGGCAAAAAGTGAATAAACAGATTTATGCATTGCAAGGTAAAATTTGGATCAGACAGGTATGAGTAATTCTGATCAGCTAGAAATGAGCACGTGGTTCTTTGAAAGGAAGTTAGAGGGCCGGGGATTTAGCTCAGTGTTTCTGCCGCCTGCCTTGAAAGTGCAAGGTCCTGAGTTCGATCTCCGGTAACCCCCAAAAAGAAAGGAGGTTGGAACAAGGAAAATTAAATCAGTATGTTACATTCTATCATTTGAAGCAGTTGAGTGAAAATATTTCAGACTTTTGGTATAAATGTTTTTGGGAGACCATCTTACTGCTTCTAAATACTGTTTGTACAATAAGCTGTTGTTACTGCCAATAAAGGGGAAATACTAAAGGATTGGATAATCTTCAGTTGAAAAAAATTATTCACCTGTCAGTTACAAAGTCAACTTTCAATAGAAAGAAAATGTCCAATATCAACTACCTTTCTCAAAATGCACATCTAAAGTAGGTTGTTAGATAGTATTTTTATAACATAATCCAAACAAAAAGCAAACTTAAATATTACCTTGGAAAGCCCAGCTCTCTCCTTGGCAAGCTTCTGTTTCTTTCTTCCTACAAAAAATGCAATGAAGTATTTTTTATTCAGCCATCATCAAAACAAGAATCAAAAAAGGTCTAATTGCTGTGGCTGTCATTTTTATTTGCAAAACATTCCCAACTCTAGAACTGGGGCCTCCATGAAGCCCCAGTTGTCAAGGCAACATGAATAGTCCTAATCAGTAAGTTGTTGGTATTGTGACATTTCTGGGCAGGAACTTTTACTATTCCTCTGGGTCATCAGGTCTAGCAATTCACAGGATGGAGACAACTCTAACAGTTGAATGTCAGCACAAACCCCCATTTCTTTCTTTCTTTTGATACTAGGGATTGTACTCAGGTCCTTGCACTTGGTGAGGCAGGCGCAATGCCACTGAGCTAAATCCGCCCATCCCATTTCTAACCTACACAGGATGTGTAATGGTAGAAAATTAGGCCACTGTTATGAGAGCTTTATTACTGGAATATGTGAGATTTTCTTTACTAAATGTTGAAAACTAGCATTTTTTTTAATGTGGAGAAAATATTTATTTTGCTTATTTTCAAAGAGTGGGTGGGATATATTCAAGGATGACAGGAACCATATTCTTTGAGAAAACTAGCATTCTTAAATGGAAGAAAAACAGTATTTTTTTTGGTACCGGGGATCAAACTCCGGTCCTTACACTTACAAGGCAGGCGGCGGAACCACTGAGCTAAATCCCTGGGACAGAAAAACAGTATTTTTATACTTTGGATTGACATTATCTCAAAAGGCTTGGGATACAGCTCAATGCTCCTTAGATTCAATCCATAGTGTGTGCAAGTTGAGTGGTAGCTGCTGTCAGCCGGGCACAGTGACCCAGGGCCTGTAATCCCAGCATGGAAACTTAAAAAGGACTGGGGATATGGGCCAGGGATTTAGCTCAGTGGTTCTGACACCTGCCTTGCAGGTGCAACATCCCAAGTTCAATCCCAGGTAACCCCCCCAAAGGGGGGGGGGCCTGAGGATATAGCTCAATGCAAGAGCTCTGGGTAATTGGGGCCCAGTACCACCAAAGGGAAAGAAACAAATCCTCACTCTAGTCTGTATGTTGTGTTTTTTTTTTTTTCACAAATAGGATTTTATTACTATTAAAAATCTGGATTTTAAACAGACTCTTGGACTGGTGGTTCATATCCATCAGCTCGTTCAACTTTAGCTCCAGTCTCATCTCCAGTAGCTTCTCCAGAGCTACTTCATTCACCATGAAGCTCCATGAGTTTTCCCAATTCAAACTTGGGCTTCTTCAGCATTTTTACTTTTCTGACAAAGACATCATGAAGAGGATACACAGACTGGCAAGCTTTTTCTATGTCTTTCCCAATGCTGTCTGGAATCAACTTATTCACCACTTCCTTCAAGGTCATTTGTCTGCACCTCTCGGGTCATGATTTCCATCATCTTCTTCCAGATTTGGCAGACTTGTTGGTGCTGAGCATAAGAGGTCTTCCGTATCTGATTGTTCCATTTTTTAGTAAAACCAACACAAAACAAACGAAGCAAATAACCATCGGTAGTCTTGACGTCAACATGAGCTTCAATCATGGTCTGCCATTTCTTGACCATGAAACACATTTTGTCACGGGTGAGATCCATACCATAGAAGTTAGTCAGGCAGTTTTTGCCCTGAACATCTTCCGTAATTAGCTTGAATTTTCTAAAGGCAACTTCATCATTCTGCAGATCAGCAAGGCTGACTTCAAACACACGACCTTTGAGCCCATCAGATGTAATTTTGGTTCCTTGAGTTCTGGTGACTAGTGTTTTTCCAATATTTCTTACGTTGAACATAGCTGGTGCCTTCACGTCATACCAGTCTTTTTTAGAAAATGGGTCAACCACTTTCTTCTTGGCTCCCTTTTTGCCGCCTTTTGTAAGGCGGTTGTTCTTGCCCACCACCACGGTGCTGCTCAGAGCCTAAAGGGCTGTATGTTGTTTTTGATAGGACATCAATCAATACTATCAGGCGTTGTGACAACAGGCTTTGAGCCTAAATATCCTGGTGTGTATACTACCTCTTCTACTTACAGGAGGAGCCTGTGCCTCACTTTCTCCATAAAACCAGTCTAATAACAATATCTATTTCATAGGGCTTTTGTGAGGACTGAATAAGCTAATACTGTAGCTGTATTTTTAAACAGTGCCTGGTTCCTAACATGTGCCACATAAACATGTGGAACATGTCAGTTCCCTCAGATAAGGATGTGTACTAGAAATACCTAGAAAAGTAATAACTAAAAAACTACAATGACACAGATGACCACTTGGCAGAACTAAAAAAAGGTAGGACTCTACTTATTATCTGGGTAACCTTAGGCAAATCTGTAAATCTCTTTTAACACTCCAAAGATAACGCCTGCTTAACCTACAGGACTCCTGCAAGAAACAAAAAGTCTACAAATCCTCCAACTATCAATGGGTAAGAAGTGACCGGTTTGTCTAATCCAGACAGATGGTTAATTTACTATGGGCAGAGTACATTCTTTTCTTAAATCTGTCTTTACAAACGAGATTTAACCACCAGTAAACCTAGTCCCCCACAATACCCCAAATCATGCCACTTTAAGGTTTAAATACAATTCTAAGAGTTTCAACAGAAAAATACAGGTTAAAGTTGATCTTACAAATTACTTTGAAAACAGCCAGGTACCTTACCTAAAATGTTCATCTCTGTGTGACTAACTAGAGAAATAGACCACAATCCTACCCAATTTAAGGATCTGGCCCTTTTCGGGCAGAAAATGAGTATTACTAACTGCTAAATAGCACAGCAGATTGGAATTTGCACTGAAAGAGTGGTAAAACAGGAAAATTGGACATGAAGGCAAGGAACATTCAAATATTAAACACTCGGGTTTCAGATGCTACAAGCCAGACACGGGCTTAATCTTCACAATAACTCTAAAACAGGTACTGTCACCCCCATTTTATAGATCAGAACATTTTACCAACGTCACAATTAGTAAATGATCAAGTGGCTACTCAAAGCCAGGCAGAACTTCAGTCATGTCCTTAAAGATCATTCACTCTCACCATACTCAATAATGTAAAGAAACAGACACACCAGTCAAAATAAAAGGCATCTTCAGAAACGAAGAAGGGAAATTTGTGGGAGAAACAATGAAAAGCTAGAATTTAGGAAAAAATAGCAAAAATCATGACCAAACTCAGTACAGTGAAATTTAAGTTTCATCATGGTCCAACCTTAAGAGTGGGGAGAAGAGTATAATTTTTAATTAAGTTTATTGGTACATTTTAGTTATACAATATGATGACATTCATCATTGGGAATTTATACCTTTATATAATATATCTTGGTGAGATGAACATAATTGTTAAATGCCTATGACTGGTACAGTCACCAAATTTTAACATTTCTTAGCTGCTTTTCATTTTTAGCAAAAAGATGAAAATTCTGAGCTGAGTGAGGTAGCTTCTGTCTGCAATTCCAGCATTCTGGGAGACTGAGGCAGGAAGACCACAAGTCTGAGCACAACCTGAGCAATTTAGATGCTGTCTCAAAACAAAAAATTAGAAACGGGCTAGGAATGTAGTTCAATATGAACATCCTGGGTTCAATTCCCAGTACTAAAAAGATTAATATTCTAACTTTAGTTTCATAAGACAAGTAGCATTTCTGTAGTAAAGGGATAGATGGTGATAGCCTGAAAAACTAAGCAGGAGTTACACATTCAACCAGCAAAATCAGGTCCTGGCTCAATATTTGCTGACATTAGTCCCAAATGCTATTATGTAAACCTAACAGTTAAAACAGGTACATCTACTTTTTAGAAAAATATACATAAATCATGAGTTAAAATACACCCCAAATTTAAATCATTCAGAACACGTTCATTTTAATAAGGCACTTATTGCCAAATGGTGATTGATTTTATACAGTACTATATAAGTAAAACATCTCTGAAGGTGGCACTGTTTTGGGAGGCAGGTCCCAGAACCACTGAGCTAAATCCCCGCCCCTTACGGTGGCACTGTTTTGAAGGTTAAATTTCCCTTTTTTTTTCTGAGGCAGGTCTTGCTATGTAATTTATGCTGGCCTTGAAACATGTCATCCTCCCATGCTAGCCTCCCAAGTGCTGGGACAGGCATGTACCACCAGGCTTAGTTTAAATGTCACTTAATGATTTAGATTAAGCCGGGCATGGTGATACACATCTATGATCCCAGCACTCAAGTGACCAGTAGAAGGATCGATGTGAGTTCAAAGCTGATTTACATGGTAAATTCAAGGCCAGCCTAAACTACATAGTGAGATCCTGTCTCAAAAGAAAAAAAGATTTAGATTGATAAAAAAATTTTTTAAGAGTATTGATAGGCACTAGGTGTGGTGGTGTACATCTGTAATCCCAGCACTCAGAGGCTGAGGCAGGAGGATCCCTGAAAGTTCCAGGCCAGCCTGGGCCACAAAGCTTGTCTCAAAACAAGAAGAGAAGAGCAGAGCAGAGCTGGGGCCAGGCATGGTAGTACATGCCTGTAATCCCAGATATTCAGGAGGTGAAGACAGGAGGATCACAAGTTTAGGCCTAGACACTTAGAAATTTAAAAAGGGTGGGGCTGGGGATTTAGCCCAGTGGTTCTTCTGCCTGCCTCACGCAAGGACCAGAGTTCAATCCTTGGTACCAAAAAAAAAAAAAAACCCCTCAAAGTTGCCAAAAATTTAACAAGGGGATAGGGATGTAGCTCAATGCTAAAGCCCTACATTGAACCCTCAGCACCAAAAAAGCAAAAGCAAAAAAACTGCTAGAGGCTCAGTGGTAGAACACATGCTTAGTGTGCTTGAGACCTTCAGTTCCATATTTAGCACACCAAAAGAATTCTAGTAACAGAAGATAAAAGGTCTAAATAAATTAGGACCCCAAACTGAACCTCAAACCTTATTTTTTTTCTGGTACTGGAGATCAAGCTCAGGACCTTGAGATTGCCAGGGAGACATGGTGCCTCTGAGCTACATCCTCAGCTCGAACCTCATTTTTAACAAGCCTCTTTCCAAAAAAAAAAAAGGAAAGAAAAAAAAAAAAATCAAGAAAGCCAACAAGCTAGATGACTGATTTGAGAAACTATCCTTTTATTTTTGACATAAATATTCTATTGAAAATTCACTTAAAAAAAATTTAAAATTAAAAGAAATGAGCTGGAGATTTAGCTCAGTGGTTCTGCTGCCTGCGTCGAAAGCGCAAGGTCCTGGGTTTGATCTCCAGTACCAAAAAAACCAAAAAAGAAATGAAACAAAATTCATTCTACAAACACAATACCCAAATACAGCCACTTATGCAATTAAAAAAGATTGACTTCGAATAAAAGTTTTACTTGCTAGGAAAAATATCAAATTTTTATTACAGAAAGAAATCTACCATTCATCAATTAGTATGTGTCTGGGCCAGTACTACACTAACACATTTTACAAAAACAGAAAAATAATGCTTGAAGCTGTTTGTCTGAAGTTACTGATGCAGAAGCTCCAGTGAAGCAACTGATTAGTGCATGGTCCTTATATAAAGTTACTGGCATAGGCAATAATCCACTTAAATCCTTACCTTCTTGTTAAAGCCAGAAAAAAAAAATTTATTCAAAATAATGGAAACGAAACTGTCAAAACAGTTTTCAATTTGTCTAAAATAGTAACTCTTATGATTTCTTTAGCCAAAAATCATTTGCTCAGTTTTCACAAGAATTAATCCACTCTTAAGAGCTCTACATCTGCACCCAAAACACTCATCCATCCATTTTTGAAACCACAGTATAGGAAATCTGTATTCCAATAGTTACACTTGAACACCAAGCATTTACGTTGGAACCTTCTTTATGTCAGAAATATGGTGGACAACTCAAGCATCTTACTTTCTTTTCAGAAACAAGGAGTGGGTGGCATGCGCCTATAATCCCAGCACTCTGGGAGGCTTCGGGAGGACGACTGCAGCCTGGGAAACTTAGCAAGTCTCTGTCTTAAAATTTCAAAATGTAAAAAGGTTTGGGGCTGTAGCTCACCTCAAAGGCCCTGGGTTAATCCCCAGTACCGCAAATAATTAAACAAATTTAAGATTCAGAAAGTCCAAGACCATGCTTTGCTCATCAGTGACTGGGACCTAGAAACCCAGTGTCTAATTCCAAAATATCATTCTTTCCATTAAAAGGGCTAGAACTAGGGGTCAGGGATTTAGCTTTGTGGTTCCGGCGCCTGCCTCGAAAGCGAAAGGTCCCAGGTTTGATCCCCTGTACCAAAAAAAAGGGGGGGGGCTAGAACTAGTTGTACTGTAAATGCATCAGCCCTGTCCAACAGGTTCCTCGCTAGCGAGCCCACATGTGGCTATGGAACACTTGTGATGCCCTGGTATAGCTTAATAGTAAATCAGAAACAGGATCTTCACTACTTGTATTTTCCTGGCTTTAATATAGCTGAGCACCCTACATCTATTACAAAAATATATTGTTGCAACAAATTTGCTTTTCTGCTGTTGCAAATTAAGATAACCCCGAAACTCAACGCGGATCACGATGGTTTCTAGGGACAGAATCTCCCTTCGGTAAACCGCTCTTAAAAAAATGTCGCAGGTATGAAATATGACTGAGCCACAGGACAAGCGCAGCCCTTTGGACTCTCCCGCAATTTCTCTAGCATTCACTCCTATCTTGGAAGCACTTAAAACGAAGCTGCCAAGAGGGTTTAAGAATGCAGTATCAATATGGAACTAGATTTGCGGATTTAGGCTCAGGCTAACATCAGACACAAGCACGACTTCTGGATTAAGAATAGAAGCTTTAAAATTAGGTGACTCACAAAGAGACCCCCCCCCCAGTCAAGCGTGGTGGTGCAAGTCTGTAATTCCAGCATTCTGAGAGCCTAAGGCAGAAGGATCCCAAGTTCGAGCCTAGCTCGGGCAATTTAGTGAGACCCTGTCTAAATATACAAAATAAAAAAGGGGTGGGGATGTAGCTTAGTGCCTCTGTGCGTAGGCCCTGGGTTCAATCCGTAAGACTGGAAAAAGAAAAACCACCCCCCCCCACACACACCCTAAGTAATAATAGAAGTCAGAACAATCTAGTCAGAAGAAAACACAAGATGGGGCCGACCCTTCTTCAAAATGGAGGGAACCAGCGGGCAGGGCCAAGACCCCTGAGCCGCGCTGAGGCGCCATGTCTTCCCCAGCTGTACGCAAAGCCACCGCCGAGGTGAGGTGCGGGACCACTCACGTTCACGAAGCCTATTCTTGAAGTTGGGATCACTTCGCCTCTTGCGGTCGAAGTAGATGCAATAGCCGATGAAGAGGGCCCCGCACACGCCGGCGGCGATAGCGCTGTTCCGACCCACCATCTTCTCTCGAATTCGGCGTGTGCCGGCCGCGGAGGGACCGCACAGGAGCTCTAGCCCACAAACCTGTAGAGGAAATCGCACCGCCTGCAGCCAAAGCCCGCTGAAGAGGACCGGAAAAGACAAGCAAAAGCACTTCCGGCTCACGAGGCCCACAGGGCGTCCTCGGCTGTGCCTGCACAGAGTCGCCGGCGCCGGCGCGGTTCTGTACCTGCTTGCCTTACTACGTGATAGCCGCCCGGACTCCAAGGCAGATAGCGCGTGCGCGTTGAGGCTTTGCAGCAAGCATTTCCTTTGGTCCCTGCGAGCTCTGCGGAGCGTCAAGACAGTCGTCAGCAAACTCCGGAGCAGCAGCAGCAGCAGCCAACCTTATTTGTGGAGAATCAAGATGGAGGGTCCCTGACGATAGAGCTTCACCTGTATGGCTTACGGAGCCTATTTACTTTCAAGTTAACTAAATTTGCTTTTCAGATTGTTACTAAATTTGTGCATTTTATGAGGTGTAGGAGAAAAATTCAACAATTCCTCTAAAAATATATAACCTTTAAAAGAAATTTAAGGGGAAAAACTGCCTCTTCCTTGGGCAGGTTAGTTGTATCTGCTCTTACTTAATGAAACTAATCCTATAGTAGTACTTTCCTGAGTTCAAATGACTTATAGAACCCAAGAAGGTAATGAAAAAAACCCCAGTGTGTGGCCAGCCCATCAGAAGTGAGGACCCCGGCCAGAGATGTAACTCAGCTGGCTGCCTGGCAAGCAAGATCCTGAGTTCATTTCTGGGTACCAGGAAAAAAAAAAAAGTGAGGACCCTCCCCCGCCTCCAAACGTGTAGTTGGAGTCTGAGGTGAAGATAGCCTTGATGAGGACTATGCCCTTAACCTAAGAAGCTTGGCCTGGACAGTTGGTGTCTGAAGTTATTGCAGGGCTAAACTGTAGCTCAGAAAAGGCCTGCTCAAGTAATGATGAACCTGAGCCCCCAGTAAGACTGGAAGTTGGACCAAAGGCACTGTATGCACTAACTCTGCTGGGATGGAGGAAAGGTGAGAATGGGGAGGTGCAAATGTACCAAATGATTCAGATTTGATGATTGCACAAGAGGGCAAAAACTTCTTGTACCCTGTAGAGATTTTGATCCCAAAAAGGAAACTGAACCTCAGCTATGTCTGGAGCCTCTGGTATGTGAAAGAGATTTGTCTGATGCCATACAGCTGGTATGAGAGGTATCAAACTTAAAAACAAATGAGCAGGGTTTGTGGCTGTTATGGCTTGTATCTCAATGTCCCCCCAAAGCCACATGCAGTCATAGGTGGGGCTTTTTGGAGATGTCTAGATCTAAGATGTGTGCTGGGATTGACTCTCCGTGCAATGCTAGGATTAAGGCTGTCCCACCCTGGGTGCAAGGGCTACCCACCATAAGGGTGGGTAGCCTGGATAGGATATGAGGGTCACTGCTTGTCACTTTGCTGTCAGCCATGAACTGTTTCTCCTCTACAGTACCCTTCTGCCATGCCACTCACTTGGAGCTAGCCCACTATGAACTGAAACCTCTACAAACTGTGAGCCAAACAAACCTATCTTAATTTTGGGTATCAAGTATCAGGTGTTTTGTCTCAGCAATGAGAAAAAATAGTGGCCATGATATGATTCCTGGATAAACCCTAAACAGGATATTCACCTCTGGCCTTCATTCTATGTATTGTAAATGCAGTGTGTCATGGATTAACTAACGGTCAACTTGAAATACCTAGCTGAACTGAGCATGATTCTGAGTGTAGAATACCCACCTGAGAATTGTTGCCAATGGCATAAGGAGAACTGGAGGGGAAGATTGTATGCTGTTGATTTTCCTTGAGAAGCTTGCCAAGGTTGGTTTTCCTGATAAGAACTTGGCTGTTCTCATCGTCAGAAGAGCTCAGGTCCTGGGTGTCACTGGAGATGGCTGCTCTTCTTTTCAGGGGAGCTCTGCTCTTCACCTTGAGTGATGCTTCCTGGCTCCAATGCAGATCCATCAGCCTGGTGGCAGAGGTCCTTAACTCTGCCAATGCACTTTCTTTTCTTTTTTTTTGGTACTGGGGATTGAACTAGGGTCCTTGCGCATGCACAGCAGGCGACGAAACCAGAGCTAAATCCCTGGCCCTGCCAATGCACTTTCTAGCTTTCCACCACTGGCCTTTGGGCCTTCCCAGTGCAGATTCTTGATAACCAGTGCAGATCCATGCATGGGCTCTAGGCCTCTGGCTGGACTTGTGAGGACATTGCCATGGGATACAGGCCCTCAGCTGGATTCTTCGAGTCTCTGGCATGCGGACAGATCTCTTGCACTCCTCTGCATTTGACTTTTTGGGTGAATATTATAAAATAATCCTATAAATTGTGTGCTGTATTAAATCTATTCCCTTGCAAACCCAGACTACAACACAGCATAAATGTTGAAATAGTATGTGATACAACATACTAGGCAACACATTAACAGAAAAGGAAATACCTGTTGTTAAACACCTATCTGCATAGACTACTTCCAGAAATGGAGACAGCATAGAAATCACCAAAGCAAGTGTTTGTGAGTGTACCCATCAGTGGACTGTGGAGTGACCTGAATAACAAGTATTTTTAGTAAAATAAAATTTTGGTATAATCCCGACTACTCTGATGCTGAGGTGGGAGGATTGTGAGTTCAAGCCTAGTCTGGGCAACCTGACAAGGCCCCATCTTAAAAAACAAAACAAAAACCCCACAAAAAAATCAAAAAGCACCACATACTGTATAGTATACTGTCATGTGAAATGATCATGTTGACTAAATATATTCATGTTTGTATTGGTCACAATGTAAAATTAAACTGTAATCCTGGTAGAAGTGTAAAACCACAGAACAACCAACCCCCTTACTTCACCAATTAAGATGTTTAAGGTGCAGAGAAGTAGACTTGCTCACACAGTCACACAGCTGGGTCAATAATCCAGATATCCTTACACACCAGTTCAGAGCTCTTTACAGGAAAGCCTGTGACCAACAGGAACAAGCTATGATTTTTCTGTACTAGAGTGAGAGAATACTTGGGTAGGTGATGTGAAGCATTCCTATGTCTTTTCATTCTGAGTAAGAATTCTTTAACCTTATACTTTACGCCCAAGATGATTAGCAGAAAACATGTTCGTGGGGCAGAGTCAAGGAAGTGTTCATGAGAAAAACAAGAGTATGGTTGTGATAATCTTTACTACAATCAATAAAAATCAAATTGTGGCCACTGATGACCATACCAATATCTTCTTGTGGCTAGAGATATTTAATCAGATGTACTGGTATTTTTCCCAGATAACAAAGAATTTCCAGAATATCTCTGGAAATTTTTCTAAAAAACACACTTTTTGTCCTACTATCAAATGTATTTTAAAAAGTAATATGCTTGGGCTGGGGATTTAGCTCAGTGGTTTCGCCGCCTGTTGTGCAAGCGCAAGGACCCGAGTTCGATCTCCGGTACCAAAAAAAAAAGTAATATGCATACTCTGCTTAGAGAAAAATGAAAATTTCAATTACACAGTAACAAATGTGAAGTTGTCCGATCACAGGAGAGTCACAAATCTGTGCCCACAGGCTACATATGCAGGAACAATTTATATAGTTACAAATGTTGCATCCTTATGTAAACCTAATAGGTCTTTAAGATGTAGGTCTGCAGAGGGTAGAGAGAGCTCCATTTTCTCGTATCCAAAGACTGGATATTTTATGCTTTGTATCCCTTATGGTGTTTAGAACAAATATTTATTACCTAATTATACTTGAGTATTTTTGCATATGTTCCCATTTAAATTTACATAAATTTGCAACATTTGTAGGGTATATAGACAAGATTGTACATGCCTGTTTGCACATGTCTTCTTATTGTTGAGACAATACCCAACACCTACAACATAAGAGAGGGAAGGTTTATTTTGGCTATAGAGTGTAGAGGTTTCAGTCCATAGCTGGCTGGCTCCAAGGCAGGGCCAAATGGCAGCAAATCATAGCAATGGAGAGTTGCTAATGCCAAGGCAGCAGGAACCAGAGATCAAAGGAGAAAGAGAGATACATACTTCCAGGCCACAGCCCATTATCCACCTCCTCTGACCTGGCTTTATCTCCCAACATCACATTTGGCTAAACTCATCAGTGGACTGATTCACTTATGACTATCATTTCCCCATGATCCAATCACCTTTGGGCTTTGGGAGAGACATCTAGATATAAACTATAAGAACAGACATTAAAATCTTACTTCACATGTTACTATAGAATTGAAATTTCCTTTTTTTTTTTTTTTGGTAAATTTCTAAAAGGAATTTTTACACATACTTCTACCAGTTACTTAAAAGATATATCAGGTCTGGGCCTTTTGATATACTTCTGTGTTTTCTGTTATATAATGCTAAAATTACTTTTGAATCCAACCTACACTTTAATTACTGTCATTTTTTAAAAAGAAC